GTAAAAACATTTCACTATAAGAAAATAAAACAACAATTTAAAGTATTTGCATTCCTAATTTTTCATTCTTATTTAGTTTTTTAGTATTTTTTTCTTCGACATTTAATTTTGGTATCTAAACATTCAAATGTTCTAAAACTCAGCGAAAAAAAAAAAGTAAATCATTAAAAAAAAAATATTGTCAAACATACTTTTATTTTTACTATGTGTAGACAAATATTTGAAAGTATTATAATTGAATAAGTATTCAATTGACAAATATTTGAAACTTGCCAACATTATAATTGAATAAGTATTCAATAGACATGTCGGGACATAAAAACAGCCTTGCAATGTGGAGAACGGAGGAAGGTCTAAAGGGCAATATCTTACCTAAGAATCACCTCACTTTGGAGGGATCGACCTTCCATAATTAGCCGTAAATGTTGTAGAGTAACTTTCTTGCAGTGAAGGCATGACCCCGATTCAATCACAGGCACCTGACAACTTGACCTTCGACACGACACCAACATGTATTTTTAGTGTTTCACATTTTGAATTTAAACTTTAAAATCTAGAATTACATCAAGAATATAAAAATTTTGATAAATAATATCTTATTTAATATTATAGACTTATTTCATTTTTGTTAAAAGTAAAACAGGTAAAATATAATATATTATAAATTATACAACATTTGTAAAATAATAGTTATATAATATTTATAACAAAAAAAATTAATATTATTTTAGACAAAACTAAATATTTAGTTGTAACTAGTATTGCTTTGCCAATGTATTGCTAAAATTGAAATTCAATTTTTAAATCTACTAAAACACTAAAAATAAAACAAACAACTATATTTTTCATTGTTTTCAGATTTTTATTCCGTGATCACCAACTAAATACTCTAAAGTTACAACTAAAAGTATATTTGAAATATTAGAATGTTTTGTTTTAAAGTTTTACGTTAAAAATTAGAATTATAGGTTCTGTATCAATTATTATTAAGAATATTATGTTATAAATGTGGGTAGGGATTTWGACCTAGGATATATAGAGAGAAAGGAAAAGCTCAATTTTTACCATAAATTTATAATTTAATCTAATTACACCCAGGCTTTGATAAGTATAATAAGCTTTTATCTTAAACTTGAATTGGTGTTGCAATTTTTACCTTCTAACATACGAAAAATTATTAAAAAAAAAAATCTAGTACAAAATTGATGAGAGGTTTATTCAATGGTTGGTTCTACATTAATTTTTTTGTTGAAATTTTGTTGAGTTTCGAGAGGTTTATTCGATAGTTAGTTCTACATTAATTAAACTTAATTTTAGGAGTCAAAGCAAGCATAACTCAGCGATGATTAATATAAGTCTTCAACCAAGAGGTTGTGAGTTCGATCCCACATGTTGAACTCGAAAAGAAAACCTTAATTTCTGGAGACTTTTAATTTGATTTATATTAAAATCAGTCGGTGAATTTAGAGTTTTAACAAAAATATTATTTGAGGTTTGAAAACAAGGAATTAGAATATCAAAATTAAGTGTATTTTGACGGAAAAATTACTGAAACTGATTATAAAAGTAAAGGGGAAAAAATATTCATAAAGTATCTCAAAATTTAAAAAAAGACTTTTATATATAAAGTTTATTTTTGTTAGTCTTTTAAGCAAATAATTGAGGCGGTTAGGGTTAGAAAATAAGGAATGGGCCATTACAGCCCAATATGAGGTCCAATGTCACTGTAATGGACGACACAATGCGCTGGAAAGTGAATTAATGGGCCACTCCTAAAACCCACTATCAAGGCCCGTTTTTTTGTCAAATTAAAGCCCCTCCATTCAAATTTCGAAAATTTTCATTGCAGGATAATATATGCAGAAATTATAAAAAAGAAAAGTAGCTAAAGTTGAGGTGCGTTTTGCAAAAATGTATAAAGATTTCAGATATTACAAAAATATTTCCAAAAAAGAATATATTTTTAAGACTTCCAACTTATTCCCTATTTATTTAGTAAAAAACTCACAGCCTCACAAATTATCTCTATCGTTACTATATCTACACATGTATATGATAATGAGTTGTTATATATGTTCAGTTTGAATATATGTTAATTCTAATCAAAGTTGTCAAATCAAGCATAATTCAACGATAATTGACATATATCTATAATTAAAAGGTTGTGAATTCGATCCCCATCCCTACCTGTTGTACTAAAAAAAATCTAATCAAAGTTTAAGAGTGAGTAGAATTAAATTAAAAAAAAAACAAGTGGCTAAAATCACTTTTGCCATTGTCAAAATCACTYMTTGGAAAATCAAAAATTACTTGATTCTCGATCAATCAACAGGGTGATTTTTGACAAAATAAAAAAATTAATAGAAAATTAAATTTTTAAATAGTTATTGTTTTAGTTTTCAAAATTGTCTTTCTATTCACGTTGTTCTTACCTAGATTTTGAAAAAATTATTTTTCTCTTCGAAATTTTTGTCACTCTAACTTTATTCATCTTTAATTTGGTTTATTCTTCTCATTTTTTTCTCGAAAATTTTTGTTATCCCTCCCTTTTTTAGTTCCATTTCTTTTCTAAATTTATTTCTCTTTGTCTAAAATTTTTTTGTCTCTTGTACCCTAAAATTTGCTCTCTAACATTTTTATTTCTCTCTAACTTTTCTCTCTCTAACAATTTTGTCAAATTCTATTTTTAAAATTTAAATATTATTAATTAAAAATCATTTGAAAAGTGTGTAACAAAAGGTTAAAATCATGGTATAAAAACTAATTTCACAAAATCAATTATCATTAAAAAAATGTTTCCTAAAATCACTCATTCTAAAATCATTTCAAATAGACCTAAACTCTCGGTATAAAAAATTAATTTTATGCTCCATGTTATATCGAGCAGTCCCTAACTCCATCTTAAAATTTATAAAGTTCCAAAATTTCTCCATTCTATATGAAAAAATAGATTCTAAATCTCTACTTTAATTTAAGAAACTCATCAAATTAAGATAATTTCTTCCTCTCTCCAACAAATATTATTCCAATAAAAAATGTTAATTGTAATCATTTTAAATCATTTTTTTATTCCAAACACGATAAAAATTTTTTTAATTTTTTTAATTTTCTCAATAACATGATTTAATAAGATTTTTTTTATATATATATTTCTTCTATCTCTTTAAAAAAACAATCGCTACATAGACACAATATAATGTCTCACTTTCAGAGGTGGCCCTTGAATTCATTTGTTTCCGGTGAATGACCAAATTATGGAGGCATGGAAAATAAATTTCTTGATGTCGGACTTCATCAACTAATCAAATGTCTGAGTTCTACAAAAGGCATCCGATATTGATATTGAAGTGCGTTTTAAGACGATTTAAGTTTTTTATTTTCCTGAATCGATGTCGTGTGACTGGATCTTTATAACTGGTGTTCGTTGCTTGACTTGAGCAACATAGACCAATACAAGGCTATGGTCGGTGATACCACAAGGTTCAAGATCTTTGCTACTACGTCATCCCGATTTAAAGTTTTAGAACATGAATGAATAATAAGGTAACTTATTTTAAGTTGCTTTTTTAGTATTGCAATTAGGTCGAGATTTTTCATTTAATGTTAGTTGGGTAGGATTTGGAGAATTTTTTAGGTTTTGTTTTAATTGTTTTAATTGTTTTAATTTATCAATTCATCATATCATGAGAGCTTGCTGAAAGGGTTCATTATACAAATTCTCAACTTTCAAGTGCTTTTTATTTATATATGGTGATATTGATTGATTGAATCTATGCTCATCAACATGCAGAAGGAATTTGCTAGGCTTTAAATTTAAAATATTCAAAGTTTTAGATATTTTATTTTTCAATTTTAGTTCAACAAGGTAATTTTAAATACCTTATGAAATATTCAAAATATTCCAATTTTGATTATAAAACTTATTGAAAATGACTATAATATGTATTAAAAAAATAGACTTTTCATAAGGTATTTAAATTTTAAATTTTTTTTAAATGTTTATTTATTTATTTATTTATTTTTTGTTGTCTTCCAAGTGAATGATTGAAGGCGGTTACTGCTGCAAAACAAGGAATGGGCCCATTCGGAAAGTCCAATGTCACTGCATTGGGCCACTTCCAAAATCCACTATGAAGGCCCATTCTTGAATTAAAGCTCCATTCAAATTTCGAATTTTTTGCTTTTTTGTGCTTTTTGTTTTTTTTTTTAGAAAAGTCGAATTTTTGCACCTTGAGTCATAGAGAAATTATCAAAAATTAGATCAAAGTTAAAAACTAAGATGAGAATACACAAGCAACAAAGAATTCTTCGCACTCAAATATACTTTACGAAATAAAATGTAAAATGTTTAAAAGATTATATATTAGTATATTAGTTTAGTTTGCATAAAATTTTGACAAGTATTTGTATTTATTGTTTCTTATTTTTTTAAGAATCATTTCCAAAATTATATAAAAAATTTAGAAACAAAAAAAATAAGTTTTTTTTTCCATTTCTAATTTGTTAAAAAACATAAATTAAATTATTGTTTCATCATTATTATTGAATCTATAGATGGGCAGTCGGTTCTAATTTTTCTTTATTACAAATGAGGAAATAGAAACAAAAAATAAGAATGATACCAAATTTGCCCCAAGAAACCATATTATCTATAATCAAATACATTATATTAGTTTTTTTTTTAAGACACTCAACTTATTTTATGCATTATGTAAAAAAGGAAAAAAAAAACATATTTTATGTACGAGAGATGGAAAAGCAAGAACTTGAATGACGCATCGACTCCATGACTGCTTTCTACTAAAATTTGCAAGGAACAATGATGAATGTTGGACATGAAAAAATGATCAGGCTCATGAGATTAGAATATGTCAAAAAATGAAAGAGTTTTGATTAATCTGCCTCTAATTGAAAAGGGATTTAGATTGACTGAAAAACGAGAGTAATCTGCCTCTCTTGTGCCTCCACACAAGAGAGAGAGAGAGTAGAATGCAAAAGAATGATTCAAGAAACTTTATATATGCAATCCTCTTTTGTCATTAGATTTTAGAAAGACTATATATTAATCTAAGATAAATTCTCAAGAAAAGGGAATAGAAAAACAGAGAGATGGAAGCCTAAATAAGTATCCCAAAAACTAAAACGCCAAGTCCCTAAACTGTATAGACATTACTACTAAACCAGTTAATTAAATCAATCTTCAGACTTCACTCAAAGGCCCATTGATTCTCCCTTCGAACCTCCTCTTCCTCCTCTGGAGTGAAATCATTCTTGATATTGAATGTCTTTCGAATTTCCTCTGGAGTCTTTCCCTTGATCATGTCGGCCACGGTCTGGCAGGTCAGATCCAGCAGGCCCTTGATGTTCAAATAATTAGCTGCCTGAATTGGGGGGAAGAAAATGCATATCCATTACTCACAAGCAGAGCAAAGAAAAGACCCAGAGAGAATAAAGTTCATGCAATAGACAGTAATTTAACTGGATATAATTTGAAAACTGGGAAATTAACAATAAAGTCTGTTCAGAAATCTTGTGATGCGTATTTGGGTGGCAACCAGAACATGCCCAGATGGTAAAAAGAGAACCAAATTGATAAGATCGTCTAGTATACTTATAAGTGAATAACTTCACTTTTGAAAGAAGCACTGGTGCTTTTCCTAAAAGCTAAAGGACCTTTACAAATTGTTCAAAATCACTTTTGATTAACTGAACAAACACTATGAAAATTTCTAAGGAAAAGAAAAAGAAAAGTTTTTAAAGGGCTCAAAGCACTTTTCACGTTCAAAAAGTCATCCCGAACCCGACCTAATAATCTTCCACTTTAAAGGCAACTAAAAGTAAATTCAAGGTGTGTTAATTGAATCAATAAAAGAATGCATACGGGAATGGTCCATTAGGACTAAATCATGCTAGAATAAACAGTCAATTGTAATTATATAGCATACCAAATATACATGATGATATACTAAGTCACTAATTCATAGTAATCCTCAATTGTAAGTTTTGCCTAACAAGGAAGCAAAATCGAATTAACCGTCATAGGACTTGAGGGCCTTTGTATAAAGTACTTGGAGGGAATGAGTTCAAACCATGGTGGACACCTTCTTAGGATTTAATATCCTAGGAGTTACCTTTCTCAACCAAATGTAGTTAGTTAGTGGTGCGAGCAAGCTGGCCCCGACACACGGGATTTCAAAAAAAAAAAGAAGAAGCAAAATCGAATTCCAAGGATGGAGCAAAAGGGTCAACATAATCGCAAGAAAAAACAACGAAATAGACATGAATCCCTCAATAACAGCTTTGGATAGCATGCTACAGATAATCTAAAAGCCCCAACATACAAGAAACTCGACAACTAAAGCAACTCCCTACATTCCAAGACAATCACACGGAAAGGAGATGAAAATTTTTAAAATCAGGGGAGAAATAAAGAGAATCATGAACATAAACAGAGAAGGGAAAAGAAAAACTGACCAGGATGAGATCAAATAGGGTATTCTGATCAACCTTGACATATTCAGCATCCCAGGTCTTGAGACTATCATCGACGGCTTTAGAATCCTTATCATCAGTCTCGACATGCTTCTTACAATACTCAATTACCTTGGCGAGGATGGCACTGTTAACATTGGGCAAGGGAATGACATTATCGGCGCAATCGTCCTCAATCATGTGCTTGATGGTCTGCGACTCGACCGCCACGGCTTCCTCGACCTCGAAAGTTTCGCCGTCGGAACTCTTGAGGACGATCTTCTTCGACGACGACATTGTCTCCGGTTGGGGAATCGGAATTGGGAGGAAAAAAAGGAAACCCTAAGGCGCGACGATTTGGAAGATTTCGGAAGCGAAGAAACGGGAAATAAGAGAAGAACGGAGGGGTTTCCTTTAAATAGTGCACTTTTGGGATGTCGTTTCGCTTCCACGCGATTCCGTTTCTGCGTGGGACACTATTTATCATAAGGAAAATTTTTACAATTTTCATTTACGTTTTGATAATAATATATTGTTTTTATTTTATGGATCCTACACTATTTTTAAATGTTGCTTTTATGGCTAATAATGAAAGGAGAATTTTTTTCATCCTCACCAAAAAGTCTGGAGAAAGCTCAATGCCAGTGACTTATATAGTGGTCAGTCAGCAGAAAGCTCACATGGGTGGTGGTGGGTTATTTCTTCCCTATAATTTGGGTACAAAACACCCAAGTCAATGTGTTAGATGAAATTTTCAAAATTATAGAGGCTAAATTTAAACTTTTAAAACTATATGAATCAAATTGAAACTTTCTCCCATGTGTGGGGTCTATTTATAGTTTAACCAACATTGATCTATATGTATTTTAAAGAAAATCTATATTTATAACAGTAAATAAATATATATATATATATATTTAGTACATAAAATTATCATTAATCTTTTGGAATTGTTGTATAGATGAGTGGTTATTGATGCAACCTTAGAACAAGATTAATTATCTCAATCATGTTTCTTATAAAGTAGAGGGAGAGAAAAAGTAAAAGAAGCAAAAAGTGATTAATAAAAATTGTGTGAGTCCCATAAATTTGGAAAAGAGAATGAAATAAAGATTTTTTTTTTTTTTTTTAAGGAAACAAGGATCTCCATATTTTGAGAGTCATTTCACTTTCAAATTTGTGGGTCCCACCCATGAATATTATTCATTCTATAAATAACGTTAAATTTTATTTAAAAAAATTACATTATACAATGTAGAAATTTGAACCTCTAGACCATGTTCGAGTTGGAATTTTTTGTATGAGTTATTTTTCTTTCTAATTAATTCTAAAAAATTTAACTCTTTAGTTGCATTAATGAGTATAATTTAATTGTTTTTAAAATTAATTCATGCATTATTATTATACATTATAGAATGCAATACTAGAATTGTGGTATCAACTAACTTGATTGATTTATTGTACATTTTAGTAAACACAGTAGACAGGATCCTAGAGTGTGTGGCTAATTAAATTGAGTAAATTTTAGCATTATTAAGATGCATTCAGGAGTATGGTTGAGTTACAATTAATATTTGATTTTTCATAGAAACAAGATTTAGTCAATTAATCATAATGAAGGTAGAATCATGGTCCTTCAAATTTGTCGATAGTAAAACAGAAATGTAACGAGACAAATGAATTCTATAATGTGACATTCTATAGACGATAGAAAATAAAAGTACGTGATTAAAAAGTAACACGAATCCTATGGCTAATCCTCTTATAAAGTACATATAATAAGCTTTAACTAAAGATAGCAAATCATATGGACAAAAAAATATAATTCAACCTAATTTATTTGATGTTGTAGAACCAAGTAATGGACTTGCTGAAACAAAAGAGAGATGGACAGCAAGATAGATTACACATTATAATCAATTGTCCAGAGTTTTACATTCATCAATTTCACTCAGAAAATACAATCTCCATTTACCTCCATAGCTATAGTTCTTGCAATTTGTACTGAAAGACCTTTTGCCTCACAGTTTTGAAACAGGCAATCCTGAAAACACCACAAAATATGGGAGTGAGAGAACTGAAACTATGAAACTCGGCTGGTTTTTCGGTTATGTAGGTTTTTATTACCCAAGGCTTTTGCATTCACAATGCTCGGAGATGCAGCTGGAGGGGAAATGTTCTCGTCAAGGAACTGTTCTACCCGGTTTGGATCGGCCCAAACAGGATAATCTTTGATCGTTCCCTGTGGTTAGAGAGCCAGAGTTTTAGTTGTGTTTTGAACTCAAAATGCAAGCAAGATCAGAAGAAGAATCCAAATGAAATCTAATGTTTTTCTGAGGCGAGTATAAATTTCCAGGTTGCACGCACCAGGACATTAAGAGCAGCCAATGTCGCCATTCCTTCACGAGTCCACTACATGATAGTTATTAAAGCGGGGTTAATGCTTCTGTAAGTCGATCTTCATTTCACTGTAAGGCTAGGCAGAGATTTACCTTGGAAGCGGAAGCAATGTGAGGAACAATAACCGCGTTCTTCATATCAGCAAGCCCGGGTTTCATGTATGGTTCATCCTAATGCAGTAGAGTGATGAATCAGGACGCGTATTCACTTGATTATGATCATAGTGAGTTGTGAGTATTTTTAAGATGAGAAGCGAGGGATTTATGAGTAGAAATACCTCAAAGACATCAAGGCCTACTCGAAACATTGGATTCTCTTTTAAATGCTCGACAAGGGCTACTTCGTCGATGACAGGTCCCCTACTACAGTTGATAAGGATTGCATCCTGCATTTTTAACATAGTTTGAAGAATTGTACTCCAAAGAAAAAAAAAACAAAAAAGAACATAGTTTAAAGAAACACAAGTTTAAATGCAATCAATCAGGAATCCCTGTCATGGGATTGGGGAGATCAACAGAATAATTGAAGGGAGAGAAGAGCTTTAGCAAACTTCACCTTCTTCATGGCTTTAAGACTTTCTTTGTTCACCAGATGGTAAGTGGTTTTATCGAGTACTGGATGAAGACTTATCTAGAAACTCAAAGGAGAACACAATAACTAATTTATATACATAATACATGGAAACAAGAGCTCATCAAAACCAAGTTAATTGATTGTATCAAAGTCATACCACATCGGCCTCTCGGAGCACCTCATCCATGGATGTTGCTCTTTTCCATGACACGGGTGCCTCACCGTTGGCTACCAGGAACTCACCATAGGCTGCAATTCAACAAGCATTTCAGCATAAGAAATTCAAACTCGTTGCTTTCAAGAATTGTTGATCGAGACATGCCTGTAACGAACTTTTCGAGTCTGGTTGCCTGGTAAAGATCATAGTAGATTAAGTTCATCTTGAATCCTTCTACCTGCAAGAATAGAACGAGAAATCATCAACAAGGGAAAAGAGTCATTATACCTTTTAATCCAAGACCAATTATTGATGACAACATTTCATTTGAAATCCTAACGATCCTCTTCCCCGGGAAAGACAACAACATTTTTGGAATCAGATTTAGAAACAAAAGAATTTCCGGTTGAAAAGTTGAATAATCAAATTCATGATTAATTGAGTTAGTAAAAGTACCATCATTCTTGCATAAGCAGATCCAATACGACCCGCTCCAATCACACCCACAGTCTGCCCTTTCAGCAAGTTTCCAACAAACCTATTCAAAAGAAATTATTTCAAATTTGTTGGGCCATTTTGGTTGCCTATTTCTAAAGAAAAATTCAACTCATGGTAGATAATCATACAAATTGGGAAGCCATCCCTCATAGAGACCTGCCCTCATGAACTCATCAGCTTCAACTATCCTTCTTGCAGCTGCAAGAGAAAGTGAAGCTGCCAACTCTGCTGTAGTTTCTGTAAGCACTCCCTAAACAAGTAAGAAATGAATGATCTAAATGCCTGTCTAAGGATCAAATATGTAAATACGTAACAGAGCATTAAAATTAAGAAATGCCCAATATCAAATTCAGGTATTCAAGGGATCAGCAGGGGAGCCTGTAGCATTTTGTACATCAAAAATAAACTTACTGGAGTGTTTCCTACAGCAACACCATACTTATTAGCAGCATTAACATCAACATTATTGTAACCAACAGCCATATTACTAAAAGCTTTCCCTCCTGCTCTGCTCAGTGCAGAAAACAGCACCTCTCCCCAATCTTCAGTCAACTGTAACATATAAGAAAACAAATCTCAGAATCACAAATACAGACACACATTTGTAATTTTTCCAACTTCTACTCATCATCTGGAGAAGCCATCTAACTAGTTATTGTATTGAAATGTTACTTCTAATTCAAAATTCTTACTGTCTAGGGTTCTCATTAATTGAAATGCATGAAAACTTTCTGATTAACAAGAATTGGTTCCAACAAGGAAGCCGTCGGTACCTGTCCAATAACGCCATCGCACTTATCGCCGATGAGAGCGAGAATATCCTCCACAGACAGAATCGTCTTCTTCTCAGTACAAATCTAAAACCGCAAACCGGATGCAAAAACTTCAATGAACACCGTCGGACAAAATTCCCGGCGAAAGAATCAGAAATAGGCGAAAACAACAAAGAGAGAAAAGAAAAAAATTACTTCGAGTCGGCAATCTTGCTCAATCAAGAGATTGATCCAGCGAGTTCCAGGCATGGGCTTGGTGCTCACAACCCTGTACTTCCCATTCGGGTTCCACACTTCGATTTGAACGGGCTTCGCCATGGGAGACAAATTTTTCGATGCTCTTCTCCACTGAAGCGTGCCATCTGCTGAAGCTTTCAGTTCGTTTTTAAAATTTCGGGTGGCTCGTGGCGAGTACCGGATAATAATCAAGTGCGACGCGGAGTACGTGAGGGAAATTCCGATGAGCGGTGGAATTTGGCGGAAATGCTGACTGTTGACTTTTGGTATGTTTGACTGTTTGACCTGATTGGGATGGAGGGTGATTTGGATGGGCTCTGTTGTAGAGGATTATGGAAGGGGGAATTTGTGTCTCTGCTTTGCCTCAGGATGGGAGTTGTTGGACCTCTCGTTTTGGTGGAAAATGGATAATAACGATATGGCCTTTTAAATTCGCGCCACGTTAGTCCCTGCTATATCCTTATCGATCAAAATGACGAAGATAGCCCCGGCTCTATTGGGCCTTTTAAACCCAATCCTTGCCTATGGTTTTGGTCCAAAATGTTGGGCCTTATACAATGGGCTCTTGGATAAGCTGACTCATTAAATTATAAATTTAAAGAAATAGTAAATTCAACTATATACCCGGTAAATTAGTAATTTTTTTTTTGAAAAGGTAAATTAGTGATTTTTTTTAAGTAGAACGTGTGTGGGTGGGATCAAACTCACAACCTTTTGATTAGAGATATGTGTCAAGTATCGCTGAGCTAGGCTCGTTTTGACAAATTAGTGATATTAGTGATAGGATATCAAATATATTAGTCAATAAATATGGGATTTTGACTATGATAATTTATATGATGATCAGTAGAACCTCCTCATTTCCTTAGATTTGGACTATTGCTTCTTTAAATTGATAAAATTGTATTATTTTTTATACCAGTGGTAGGTGGTAGGTTTGAATCTTCCTCCTCTTTTGTGAGGTAATTTTTTGAAAATAAACATTTTATAATTATAAATTTCAGCTGTATTTGGCGATGGAGCGTAACTTTAAAAGTCATGATGATATTACTGATAATATTTTTATCATAATTTTTTTTATTCTTCTCATTTCAGGGAATTAACAATATCCCTTTTGTGAACTTCCAAAAACTTTATTCATGTATTTTGACAAGATAAATTTAGAGTTTTAAAGTGTGATGGTAAGTTAGTAACCACGTTACTTCGGTGATCTTTGTTTATGTTTTTCTATCTTTTTAAATTATTATCAATAATTATTATATTGCATGTAACTTTAGTAAATTACTACTTTATTCTTTTCAGGCTAAACAGCTAATAGGCTTAAAAAATTAAATTTACAACATTTTGCTTTAAAAATCAAACATACAACTTTTGATTCCAACTTTATTATTTACAAAATTTAAGCTTCTATCTTTTTTTCTGGTTGCTGATGTTATTTTAATAAAAATAAAGGAGAAATTTCAACAAAATCAAATAAATTTGATTCAAATGAGAAATTTCAAAGTTTAATAATTGAACAAGTTTTCAATGTTTGCAATTAATAAAAAGTCAATTATTTAAATTCAACTGCAACCCATCACCAAATGAAAAGGCCACTCCACCAGCTCAAGCTGACCATTCCATTTCTGGCTGCTTCTTATGAGTTATCTAACACTAATTAAGACTTTAATTTCCCACTTAAATAATTGTCAACTTGCCTATTAAATAGCTAAAAATCCCTGGATTTAAACAAGCATAATTCTTATAAATTCGTAATCTTAGCGATGAAAAATGAGGAAAAAAACAAGCAGTGAAAACGACATTAGATTTAGTTCGACTTTACTCGTTCTTAAATAATATATAAAAAAGAAACATGAACTAAGCTACAAATTTCCATATAAACAACTCAAATGAATTTGAGATTTATTTCTTTATAGTAAATATTTTTATCATATCCAAAATAGTTCAATAATCAAATACCTATTACTATATTTTCTTAAAAAAAAAAAAGAAAATATATACACTTATTACTATCTCCTCACTGTTGAATTAAAAAATAATAATAACAGGTGAAACATTTTATTAAAAATATTGGGTAAGTAAAAAATTTTAAGTGTTTTTAGAAATTGCAAAATTGTTATTATTTTTTTACCATATGACCAAAAAATTATAAAATCATTTTTAATTGGTCAAAGATAATTTTTTAATTCGTATCAAATCCATCCTGACAAAGTGTATAAACTTTTAACTAATTTCAAATTTAGTGTTTAATTTGATGAAATTAAAGTTTTGAAATCAAAATTTATTCCTATAAACAAACTATGATGGTTAAAAAATCTAAAATAAAACTATGATCATAATGCGTATAAATTTAACAAAAACGGACCAATGGAGAGATAATAAAATAAAAATATTGCTAAATTATTTCATTAGTTTGAATATATTGTAAATTTGTTATATCTCGTTATAAAATATTTCCATTTATTTATTTAATTTATAATGGTAATAGACGAGCCCACGTTAATCACATTGGACCAGAGAAAAATAAATAAATAAATAAATAAAAATAAAATTGAGAATTTCGATTTTCAGTTGAACTGTCTGACTTGGACTCTATCTTCCAACGCCTCCACAGCCTCCTTTTGGGGTCGCCTCCCTTCGACCCTTCTTCTTCCGCCGCCCTCCGACCGGAGCTCTCGTTGCCGCCGCCGCCGACGACGACGAAGAGACGCCATGGAGAGGCTTCTGTATTCACCTTCTCCGACCTCCCTCAAGATTAACCCTAGTCGATCTCTTTTTCTTCCTCGGTTTCGTCTCATTGGCTCGGCGAAGCTCAATTTCCCCATCCCGACGCGCCACGGACTCAGGTCGATTGGTTTGATCTCCTGTAAGAACGAGAAACCTCCTTTGTCTTCGATTCGTAGTCTTTCTTTGTTTAATTCGTCGAGTGATTCGATTTGCCCGTCCGATTCTCGAGCCGCCTCGCCTAAGCTTGATTTGCTCGAACATTTCGGCGGAAAGGAGAAGGTACTGATCTACTGGAGTTAATTTCCTGCTGCTGCTCTGCTTTAACTTCGATTATTAGATCATTGGATATAGCGTCTTGTTTACTTGCTGGCGCATTGATTGGTTCTGTTTTGTCTTGCGAAATTTAGACTAAGTTTGGAGTACTGTGAATTGGTTGTGTCATAACTCATTCAGTTTAGACTGATTAGCGAAATTTAGGTAACTTTTTTGTTGAAATTCTCGAGGATTTTTTTCACTTCGTGGCATGGATTTTACCTAATTATATGAGTCATTTGAAATACTCGTTATGGTGCATCACATAGAACTAATTTTAGGATTCCAGTTTCATTGGAAAGCGTGATTGTAATAATTTACATTTTTTTGTATACTAAATTAGCGGTGTCTCCTATGAATTACAATTACTGGCGAAGGTTTCATATGTATGCCCCTGCATTGTACTAATCTAAACTTTTGGATAAGATTTCCATTCCCAATTGCATTCCTCTTTTAATGTTAGCGGCATTCATTGGAATTAAATATCCATGTTTACTTATTTGTTTTTTACCATGCTTAGGTCACTAACAGTAACAGGTAAAGATGCAGGCTGCAGCAGTGATTATCGGTCCTTTTCTTGTTTTTTTTTTATAATTTTGTGGCCTTATCTTTTTCCGACTCTTTGTAGGCCACGAAAATCCCAGCATTGTTCACATGTTTAAGCATCACTGATATTTATGAAGCAAGATAATGATATTAGTGGACGATTTAGATGCTAGATTCTTGTAAATTCTTTGACTGTAAAAACTACGACATCTCGAATTAGTTTTTTTGCATTTGCCATTTGGGGTTGGTTATCCACTCACACAATGCATATCTGTTATAAGCAAATAGATTTGCAGGATGAATTACAAAGATTATATGGCTAACACATCTTGTCATTGTGATGAACAACAAAGACTTTTTGGGTTGTAAATTCCGAAACTTGCTATTTATGCTCTTGGCCAGTTGTAATGTAATGTTCTTCTTAGATCTGATAAAGTCTCACACGTTGTTTAACTTCTTAGGTCAAAAGGTCACTCTTTGTTCTTTCTGCTCTTGCCCTGATCCTGATCCAACCAGTCTTTGCACCAGCGGCTTCTGCTTCTTTCCCAAATGCAGCTAAGACTGGGGCCCCTGCAGCTGCTGCAGTTGGGCGACGACTGATTCAGAGTGAACTCTTAAATAGTGCTTGGACTGGGTTTTTTGCTGGTTGCTTACACACACTATCAGGACCAGACCACCTCGCTGCCCTTGCACCCCTTTCAATTGGCTGTAATCGCATGGAAAGTGCTGCAGTTGGCGCTCTTTGGGGCTGTGGTCATGATGCAGGTCAGGTCATTTTTGGCTTACTATTTCTACTGCTAAAGGATAAGCTTCACATTGAAATTCTGAGAACCTGGGGCACAGTAGTAGTAGGCGTGACTCTATTCATAATAGGTGTAATGGGTATTAGGGAAGCCTCAGAAGTCCGTACCCCATGTGTGGCTCTAGAAAATGGTGAGTGTGATGTCGGCATCTTCGAAACACTAGATAAACCAATGGTTGGGAAGAAGAAAAAGTTGGGTTTTGCTACTTTTGCCACTGGAGTCGTCCACGGCCTGCAACCTGATGCACTTATGATAGTCTTGCCTGCCCTCGCATTGCCTTCCCGTATAGCCGGCGCTGCCTTTCTTGTTATGTTTTTAGTTGGAACAGTTATTTCAATGGGAAGCTATACTGCTTTTATAGGCTCGTTTAGCGAGGCGTTAAAGGACAGAGTGCCTAGAATAACTGAAAGACTGACCTGGGCTGCTTCTTTTGTAGCCATTGCTCTTGGACTTGCCATTATCATCAGCCAGTTTCTTGGCTATAGCCTCTACTGATACTGATTTTACCCATCTCTCTATTACCTTTTGCCAGATATAAAGCTAGTTCATTGAGGAGTAGCCAAAATTTTCTCCCAAGCCCTAAGATTTTTACCTTTTTACTGTTGGGTTCTGTTTGTAGTACGGATATATCAAGCTGTATAAAAAGTTTGATTTAATATTCTGCCGTTGTTGGATTTTATGCTCCAAGGTCCAAACTTCAAATGCCCTCATACAAGGGAAGTTCTAGTTGCTGATTGATACAAGAACAGTGAAAGATTGTGATGGGTTGTAGGCAAAATGGATGGAGTTGATTAAGATCTGTGAGATGAGTTTACTGTCAATTTTTTTGACAGATTAGGACTATTTCTGTATAGGGTTCATGTCATGGTCATCGGTCATCGGTCATCGGTCAGTGTATTTTGTATCAAAAAGTTTCAAGTTTCCAAACTACAACTGCAACCCTTCTTCAGAAAGTAACCTTTTCTATTGATTTACATTTGTTGAAGTGATGAGTGATCTTATCTTTTTCTTGAACAATGTATTGGTGATGTGACTCAGATTGACTGTTGAAAGTAGAGTTTGGATTTGGAGAAAGAAAGAAAAAAAAAGAGTTTGGATTTTACCAAACCCATTTATGGGCCGATTTGATTTTCAAACATTATTGAAGAATTCATGACCTGTTTATTTAATTAATGGAGATGGAAATGGGTGGGTGTTGAATGAAAGTTTGAGACCGGAATGTGGAGAGTTGCTATTGGTATTAATTATTAGGCTCTTCTTAAATGGTTCTAAATACTCATTGAACTAACTTAAAGCTTTTTTCACATCTCTTGCGTTAATCTACCCGAGTTTGCACTAGTCTTCATTTTAAAAACCACAACTTCTTTTATATTTGCTCTCTTTGTAAGGCTTAACTTTACAGGCTTCCATGTTAATTATCACGTTATAATATTAATGAATGTTTGCTTAAAGGTATTTTTTGAAACGTTTATAAAAAATCTAATGTGGCATTGAATCGTTTTAAATGATAGAGGTGTTCTTTAAATCAAATGACAAAAGTTTAGTAGCCTTTTTTGTAATTTTACCTACTTAAAGAAGTTAGATATAAGTCTTGATTAAAAGATGTTGGAAAAGAAAAAAATAGAAGTAAAGATGATGCTCTCTTTGCTCTTTGGGGCGTTTGGGGAACGGGTGTACAAACGTGGGGTTCGATTCGGCATTTTAATCTTAATCCACTTAAATCTAAACTCTCACCCCACGTGGTAAAAAAGATTATCATACTTCTTTTCGAGCAGTCATTCATTCATCTACTTTTAAACAGGTAAAGAGGTCGCTCTCATCCCAATCAACTTCATCATAACATAGTTGGCAGCAAGGACTCTTCCTTGCACCCATGTATGAAGAAATGGAAATAATAAAAAGGAGAGGAAAGAAACAAAAAAAGTTAGAGAAAATTAAACAAAGATAGAGATAGGAGTAGTAGGAATAGGAGTAGGTCCACACTACACAACACTCATATTGGTGTCCACCACAGCAATAAGAACCCCAAAACTCGAAATGTGGAAGCAAAAGCAAAGATGATGTGGTGAGCATGTCCCTTTGCTTCTGTTACTATCGAAAAAATTATAGTACTACAGGAGTATGGATATTTTTTCAATTTACAGCCTTCACGTCAACATTGTGTTAAAAATAATGTTGGAAATTTTTTTAAAAATTTTTGATAAAATTAAAATGATAATGAAAGTTTTCTTTTTTTT